TTTCGGAAAAAGTGCCTGTTTTCCAAAAAAACCTGGCCAGTCTAGACACAGCCAGGGGGAAAAGGGGCAGGTTGGGCCAGTCTTATAGCTCACACCTAGCAGGTGTGAAGCAGGCTGACTCAAGCCCTTTAACCTTTCCCCCCAGCTCAGTTCACTCAACTCTGGAAAGGGAGAGGCTTGTTCCTCCGAGACCTCTTACCATGATGGTAGTGTCTCTCCTACAAGCACTGGTGGCATGTTTTACAGTTCCTACATATATGGGTAGCATGATTAGTGACCCCCACAACAGTCCCAAATTATTTACAATTCTCCACATTCCATTCCAACACTGACTCTCCATCAGCCCTGGCTGAATGGGATTTACATAGCCACAACTGGTATTCTCTCCTGAGCTATATTTACATATCAACAGTTAGTTACCTTGCAGAGCTAAACAATTGTAGTGGGCACACCCACCCCTCCTTTTAGCTGGCTGATAGCAAGCAGCAGTTCAGCCCCTGCTTACATCTGCTTTCCCCTTGTTCATGGGGTAGCTGTGTCCCCTCAGAGGGAGGGTTAACTTATTTCATATGTATCACCATGTGGGGCTTCTCTCCAGTTCCAAAGCATACCCAGGCTATACCTAGTTTTTACAAGAAGGTTTGTTTCCTTGACTGAGGAAAGCAAACAAACAAGGAAAAGAGCCTTAATACATTCCTTAGCCTCAGGCTTCTGGGCCACCACTCCTGGGGTCTCTGGCTATGTCTACACTACAGAGTTTTTCCAAAAAAACTTCACTTATGTCCACACTGCAATCATGTTATTTAAAAAAAAGATCAAAAGAACAGAGGGGGTTTTCTGACATTGGTAAACCTCTTTCTACAAGGAAGAAGCTTTTTTCCGAAAGAGCTCTGTCAGAAAAAGATATGCATGGCTAGGGAAGAGGGAGTTCTTTCAAAAGAAGAAGAAAAAAGAAAATGCACAGGTTCCCATTCAGTGTGGACGCTATATTTCGAAAAAGCAGATCACTTTTTTGATACGCTTTGGCAGTGTGGATACTCACTTTCAGAAGAAGTTTTTTCAAAAGATCTCTTCTTGAAAAACTTCAGAAAGAAACCTTCTCTCTAGACGTAGTCTCAGTCAGCTCTTCTTTCTTCTTGGAACAATAGTCCCGGGACTGCTTCTCTGAGCTCCTGGCCCCTTGCTCCAGAAACTACCACAGGAGCCAGCTCCACTGTCTCGTTTTCCCTTCCTGGGGCACAGGCTATGTCAGCTCCACCCTCAGCTGCTCATTAGCAGCTCTTTAATTGGTTGGATTGGAATCATCTGCTTTGGTCCAGGTTCAGCATATTCACAGGGACCAGTTACCCTATGAAGTACTCTCCCCTCACATAACCAGGGCTGCCCCAATAAGTTGCTCTCACATTGGCTTCCTTTAAGCCCCTTTTTGGTTGGCCGGGGCTTTTCCCTCCAGCCTGTTTTAATCCCCTCTGGATAGAGTGGGGCAGGTGCCTCACTACAATAATTCCAGGGATTTCAACAACTTCCACCTCATCATCAACCTTAGCCTGGACCAGTCCACACTAGCGATCCACTTCCTTAAACTACAGTACAATTAAACAACGGCCACATTTCCACCACCTTATACCAGAAACCTACTAACCATAACATTTAACTATATGCTTCTAGCTTCTATCCTGGACACATTTCCCAATCAATTGTTTACAGCCAGGCCCTAAGATACAACTGGATTTGCTCCAATCCCACAGACAGAGACAAACACATATAGGACCTCCAGGACTAAAGGGTGGGCTAGCTGGGCAGCTGCCTAGGGTGTCAACCTATGGGTGGCACCTGGCTCCCAGTGGGCTGCAGTGGCTGCCCGGGGTGGGGACTGTGTTAACCCCCGCAGCACCAGCCAGCAGCGCCCTTTCCCCTGCAGTCGCAGAGCCCTGCACAGCCAGGCACAGCCTGCTCAGGGCGGCCCCGGGCTGTGCACCATCAGCGGTGGTCGGGCCGATTGGGCAGCGCATGCGCCATGCGTCCACCCACACGCCCTGGGGGAGGGCCCGCACATGAGTCCAAAGGTGGGGCCGTGCACCCCAGGGACGGTGCCGCGTGCCTGGGGCCCATGGCACCAAAATGGCTCAGGCTGGCCCTGAGGACCTCTATCAGGCATTCTTAAAACTTAAATACCCACCCAGGGAAGTGAAAAAACAGATTGACAGAACCAGACAAGTACCCAGGCATCAGCTTCCTCAAGAGAGGCCCAATAGAGGAAACAAAGAACACCATTGGTCGTCAACTACAGTCCTGAACTTCAACCCCTCCAGCACATCATTAACAATCTACAACATATCCTGGAAAATTATTCCTCACTCTCAAGGGCCTTGGAGGACACTTGGATCTAAAAGTGACTATATCACAAAGCAATTTAAAAAACACTGCTTGAGAGAGAAGCTGCAGAACCTGGTTTCATTTACAAGTTTGACACCTGTAATCAAAGTCTGAACAAAGACCTGACCTGGATGGGCCACTACATTACATACCATTATGATATAAAAAGTTAAGCTCTGGGGACAAATAGCTAGCCTCATTTAGCACAGACACTGTAATTGACAGGTTTTTTCCCCTTCCCCTCTCCCTTCTTTTTCTGCTTTAAATTTGGGGGTTCTTACCCATATTGAAGAAGTAGGTTGTGCCCACGAAAGCTCATAATACCATCTACATTTTTGTTAGTCTCTAAGGTGCTGCAGAACTATTCATTGTTTTTGAAGTTTGTGCAGCTACAGACTAACACGGCTACCCCTCTGAGACACTGCAGTAATGTTGATAAATACTCAGATCTGTAATATCTTAACTACATTATGTGAAAAATATGGATGCAGTGTCCTCTATAGAAGGCCATCAGGTTTGGTTCATTTCCATTGCATTTGGACCTCTTTTTCCACATTGAAAGCATCTTCTTTAAGTTAACAGCGTGTCTTAGTAATGTGACCTCCTTGTAAAAGTAGAAGTTCTTCCTTCCTAGTGCAAAACAAACATCTAAACAACATAAATCCAAACCAGGAAGGAAACTACAAATTCACCTTTCTGTTTAAAATAAAAACATTATTAAGACTGAAAAATCAATCATTCTTAAAAAAAAAAAAAAAAAAAAAGCCAGAATTAAGGTTCCCTATGCAACTTTTCTCATATAATCAAGTCCCTTATTTTATGATACTGTACATTAACTAAATGATATAAAGTCATACATTGTAAGTCTCCTGCTAGTATCATTTTCTTTCTAGTTTTAAAGGGTGCATCTACACTGCACACTTAGCTAGAAATAAGCTATGCAATTGTGTAGCAGATTTTGTAATTTGAAGCTGCCTACACAGTGCCAAATTTCAAAATAAACTGCTATTCCAAAACGTCCCTTAATCCTTGTGGAACGAGGTATAGAGGGATGTTGGAATAGTGCGCCTGTTATTTTGAGAAATATTTTGAAATAACAGACGTGCTGTCAAGATGCGGAATAGCTATTTTGGGATACTGGAAATATTCTGAAATAGCACTGCAGTGTAGATGTACCCAAATTGAAGGTAGACTGTCAGATTAAAAACAGCCTATTTCTTTATCTGCCTTATAAACACCACTTTAAACACTAAGGACTCTTCCAAAACATACTTATTGTTGCTTACACTGGTTCAGCTACATCAGCTTAAGCAATGTTGATAGCAGTAGTACATATGGTTTTCTCTGTCTTTTACGCGCTTCTGGAAGACAACATTTTCCTATACAAACACAAAGTTTTTAATTAATTTTGTTTCACACACATGCAGCATCATGACTCAGCAAGAGCAAAATTGATTCAAGGAATATTAATATAAACAAATGTTGCTTTCTTTTGGACAGGGGGGCAACAGTAAATGTCAGACTTACATCAGTAAGATAAATATGAGATTTGCATGTATTAGGAAAGCTGGAAAACCCCTCAAAAACCCAGTTACTCTCTATGCTGATTAAAAATAAGAACAGCTGTGAATTTCACCTTATTAGTTAGTTATAGGACAACAAATTAATGCAGAACATCTGAATATTTTGAGTGAAAAACATTTACTATGTGAATGAAGTTGCAGTTGGAAGTGGTCAAGCAATACATCTCCTCAAAGAAATCCAGCACAAACACAGCAGTAAACTCAGTTTCTTCAATTTTATCTAAATAAATTTCTACTTACAACTAAGCATCGAACACATGATGGTTATAAATGTGAATATATGTAACTATCCAGAATATGTTGTCAAAGTTAGGGAGTTGCAAGGAATAAGAAGTCAGATAACTTGCAGGATTAGTAGAGAAATCACCATATAACCATTGCATTCTATGATTGGTCTACGCTTAACGTTTAGATCAATCTAGCTAAGTCATTCAAGAGTGTGAAAAATTCACATCCCTGAATACAATAGGTAAGCTGACTTTGCCCATCTTGTAGTCACACCTACATTGATGGAAGCATGCTTCCACTGATTTTACTTCCACTGTTCGTGGAAGTAGATTACCCCACGAGCAGTGGGAAAACCCCTTCCATTGATGTTGAAAATATCTGTGTGATAGTGATGTATTAGAACTACAGCCAGTGATAGCTACAGAACTGTAGCTATGCTGCTGTAGCATAGATATGATAATGAGATAAATAGATACTTATAGTATAGATATGACTTCAGTTTGACAGATTCATTCTATTTTGAAATTACAGGCAGTCCCTGGGTTACGTACAAGATAGGGACTGTAGGTTTGTTCTTAAGTTGAATTTGTATGTAAGTCGGAACTGGTACATATTGTAGGGGAAACTCTAGCCAAACATTTCTCCAGAGCTCAGTTTTATTCTCCCACACCTCACTTCCCTCAGTACTTTATTCTCAAGCTGAGGTGTCTGCTGAGAAAAGCCGCTCCGCGTCTCCCTGGTCTGCTGGGGGGAAGCAGCTAGTGCGGGGTTGCCTCACCCCGTTAATAAATAGGGATCCGATGTAAGTTGGATCCATGTAACCCGGGGACTGCCTGTATGTTTTTCCTAATTCACAAAACCAGTGCTCTGGTTTGCAGGATCCAGGTCTGTAAAATAAGATAAAACTATCCATAGATCCTGTAATTTTGAAGGCAGCAATTATAATATAGTCACATTCCTACATCCATGCTTCTGTCTAATGAGGAATGGAGTGCCCCATAGCATAGGGGTGCGTCTAGACTGGCATGATTTTGCACAAAAGCAGCAGCTTTTGCGCAAAAACCTTGTCGCCTGTCTACACTGGCTGCAAGTTTTTGCGCAAAAACACTGACTTTGTAATGTACAAAATCAGTGGTTCTTGTGCAAATATTCCGACGCTCCCGCTCAGGGATAAGCCCTCTTGTGCAAGTATTCTTGCGCAAGAGGCCCAATGTAGACAGCCACGTTAATTTCTTGCGCAAGAAAGCCCAATGGCTAAAATGGCCATTGGAGCTTTCTTGAGCAAGAGATGCAAATCTTTTGTGCAAAGGCACATGCCAGTATAGATGCTCTCTTGCGCAAATACTTTTAATGGAAAAACTTTTCCGTTAAAAGTATTTGCGCAAAATCATGCCGGTCTAGACGCAGCCCAGCTGTTTCATCATCAACCACTAGATGTCACATATCTGCAGGTGAAACAAATTACTGTTGTCCTGAACCATCACTTATTGTTTGATCAGACTGTGAACAGAAACAAATAAACAAAATAATGAACACTGCCCAACCCTAGTGAAGACAGTGTATGTGCATGCATCTATGTTATAATAACCAATTACCTTCAAGAAGGAGAGAAGGCAATTAACTCTTCTGTACAAACTTGTTTAATAGATTCACAATCTCAAAGACAAATATATCATTGAACTCTTTCTATAAATAAATAATCAAAGACTATGTTAAGTGAATTTGGTTCTTTCTAGTTAGTAATGAACTGATATACAGATCACAGCAAAGACCACCATCCTTTATATAAACTGAAATGCTGGCAGACTTGGCTGAGAAGTTAAAAAGCTGAATGGACAGGGAACCTGAATAATCGCCTAAAAATGCTCAAAATCAAGGTTGAGGCACACTTGTATGCCTGCTACTCATACTGTACCTGTTCTGTGAATACATGCAGAACTTCATTTTTCAGGACTGCCAACGTGGCACCTTTTAGTGAATACTAAATGTCACACACAAAAACAAACAAGTAAATGTTGTAAAAAATAGTATGCTATTGTGAAGAACAACAGATGTCTCCTACATAGGCACGAAAAGTACACAAAGAGGAAGAAGAGAGTATCCAGCACTATCTTGAAATAAAAGAATAAACTAAAAATAATTGCATTACCATGGTTAACCATGGGAAAAACCAAGTAGTCCTGTGGCATCACTGTGTTGGATCACTATAGCTAACACAATTAGGTTGTAGGGCTGTTGTAAGGACCTCCCTGCCCTGGTGAATGGAGACCTCTAAACTAGACTTGCAGCTAGCTCTGTGCACATGATGCAGAGATTGTTCTGAAGTGGGAAGGATGGAGAAGAGAGGAGGCATGTCGGGAACTGTCCCCTATGATGATCCCCTGGCAGTGCCTAAAGAAGGGAGGCAGAGGACAACTGTCCTCAGTCTCTGCCTTGATGTGGTTTTTAATTACACAATCACATACTATTTGTCAAATAATAGGTTTTTTAACCTTAGATACATAGGTGTAGCATTCGTTTATATGTGATGTGACAGGGTCTGGCTGAAGGAGTACAGAAGGGTGATAGAAGGGAAATATATTAGCTGTAGATTAAATAGGTCCCTGTTTCCAGGGTAAACTAACAAGAATTAATCCAGAACTAACAGGAACCTTCTAGAATTAATCAGGGCTATCAGGCCAATTAACACATTTGAAGGCCATTAGGAGGCTTTCAGCTTCAAGGGAGCCAGACTACTCAGGACATCTGGAGCCAATGAAGAACCAGTTGAGACAGGTTAGAAAGGCCTCCCCCTTCTGTTTGTTCAGTGTGTGAGCAAGGAGAGAAAGTGCTGTGGTGGGTCTGGGAGAGAAAGCATAAGCTGCTATAAGGAGGAAGAGCCTGTGATAAGGAAGTTGCTAGGGTAGGGTGTGGGGAACTGGCCTTGCGGAGTGTAGCTGTCATGTAGCTGGAGACATTGCAGGCAGCTGCTATTTCACAGTGCCCCTGGGCTGGAACTTGGTGTAGAGGGTGGACCCAGGTTTCCTCTCCCCTACAACTTTCCATTTCAGCACCAGAAAAGCCAGTGCTTTGGGTAAGTAGCCTCTCTACTATAATGCACTTCCCCTGGTGCTTGGCTGCAGTACCGGTTGGAGAGCAGCCCTGCCAACATGGCCCTACTGGGAGCACTGCTAGGACCAGACAACAAAGCTCGCAGTGCTGGCAGGCAGCACAGCCTCAGCCTCCTCCCCTCCGACTGAGGAGATGTGGGCCAGGGCCAGGGCCAGGCAGTGCCTCCTGCCTTCCTCAGGAAAAGCTGTGGGCTGGGCCACGGGGCCCTGCCCCCTTAAGGAGAAACAATGGACTAGATCTGGGCCACAGTCTTCCCCCTCAAGGAGAAACACCAAACCTTCTAGCCCTCAGCCCATATTGCTACACTCCCTACCCTTTGCACTGAGTCCCCAATAGGGGACTGAGCAGAGCTGGGTAAATCCTCTAGTAAAATATAAACTCTACATTGGCCAGGTACTGCACGGGAAATGAGCTCCCAGTGCTATAACTCCTGAGGTATTCACATTGACAAGGGATTTAGTGTGCACAAACTCTGAAGTTGCTGCACTCTAGGTAAACCAACTTGATAAGAAGCATAGAGCTTATTACACTCTGGATACAGCAGTAGAGGGCCAGTGTGGACACTTACATTGTATGTTGTGTTCTGACTGGTCTCTGGAAATAACCCATAATCCCTCAAGTCCCCTCTGCTCTTTTGAGTTCAGCTCTCTGCTCTGCAGGCATGAGCATATCCCCTTTCAGAGCTCCATTTTGGAAAAATTCATTCCTCTGTACAATTCTTAGAAAGTATTTGCACAAACATATTGCTCAAAACACAACAGAAGATTAGTGTTACAAGCTTTGTTGTGTTTCCTCCATAAACATTTAAAATACAAAATAGCTTCACATTTTTGGTAAAATATCTCAAAATATAAGTAACAAAACAAACAAACATAAATACAGGCAGTCCCCGAGTTACGCGGATCCGACTTACGTTGGATCCGCAGTTACGAACGGGGCCGTTCCTTTCCCTGGTCTCCAGCAGACCAGGGAGAGGAAGCAAAGTGGCGGAACACGTGGGCAGCGGACAGGGCTGTCCGCTGCCCACGCGCTCCGAGGCTTGGCTCTGCTTTGCCCCCCCCCTCCCCCTGGTCTGCA